TGTAAGATGTTGGTTATTATTTGTTTAAAGACTGCCCAAATTCTGGGGGGGGGGACAATCAAAGACGATCTCCAGTTTTGTTGAGATGGAAATCAGGTTACGTGCTATAACCTGTTTAAAAAGCAGCTATTGCCGTACTGAACTTCTGCGCGCTTCTTCAACTCTGTATTAACTGAAGGCCTGTACCAAACACATTTCGGTATCACATTATTGTCGCGACACCTGTGCAGACCTCAAATCTGCGCATAAGTAGATGACTCCAAAAGAACAAATATTTCCCACAATCGAGCCGATCGGAGCGCATCGTGCCCAAAGGGCTTGCCAAGAGAAGCGAATATGCGAGTTCCAGGAAGCAGTTTAGAAGTAGAGAATGCGATCTGTGCATGGATCATCCTATTAACTTGAAAAATCAGTTTACCAAAGGTAGAAGCGTAACCGAGGAACACTCTTCCCACGACCGTGACTTCGCGTGATTCGTAAATAGTATGCAAAACCAAAGTGCAGAAAACATTTCAGCAAACTTTCTAGTTTGACGGCTTGCATAGAATTAGAAATTTGAAAGGATAAAAAGAGGAGAAGTATGTATGATGTGAAAACCTTGGTTATTCACAAAGCGCCATGCAAATCCAAATCTGCATGGTTTCCAGTCATTACTTGGTGTTGAACAAATACACCCACGAAGCGGTTTAGTTCTGGGTAGAGTAACCCAAAGCTTAAAAAAGTTGTTTACCCGGTAGAAGAGCGAAACATAAGTTGGTGCCAAGAAAATCAAACGCGACACTACAAGGGCCTATTGAGACAGTGTTAAAGGAAATTAAACTTAGCCCAAACAGTAGCGTTAGCCAAAAGTGAATCAACTGGCAAAAGAGGTATACACAAACTGGCAGACCTGTCGTTAGAATAATCCTTTCACAGCCAAGCTCCGCAAGGTTTAATTGTCTTATCGTTTAAAAATGGAAACACTTGCTGCATACTAAAGTTTCATATGCATTTTGACAGTTTTAGGTCATGCCTTTGATTTTAACGAGAGCTGTGTGAAAGTGTGGAAACCACCAAAGTTAAGCTTTTGCATTTCACTAGTCTAAACTATTTACATATAAAGTTAACTGTCATGTCATGGATTACCGCTTGTGTCAAAATTCAGAGTAGCCAGTGGCTCTGGTGATGAAGATGGCGATCTACTGCAACTTCTTCAGTACTCGCTGGGCGAGTACGACGAGCAGCTGTTGGCCCAAGCGGCGACCAATTGCCGTGAGATTGAGAGAAACGAGAGCCTGTTAACCTTCTGTGATCTAGACGCTAATGACGGTCTGGATGTAGTGTTGGAAGCTCTACTACATGTCTCCAAGGATGCGATGACCTCCCTGAGACTAACCCTGGATTGGAACCGACCAGACCTCGCAAAAATGGTCTTCATGTCCGCTGCCTCACCGCCTTCACAAAGTAAGTTAGAAACGAATAGGAGACACTTTCAGGTGAATAATTTTATTTTAACACAATAAAGGCCAATCCTGCGATTGGTGCCTCACTCTTCTGTGCTGCTCAAGCTGAC